TATCAAAGAATAAAGTAAGTTTCATGATTTAGTTCTAATTTCCCCTGCCTGACTGGCACCACTACCGCACAAGGCTGAGTTTATGGGGGTCGAGTATGCCAGTCTATCAGCTTTTGACAGTGGTGCACTGTTTCTGTTTGAAGTGAAATTTGTGAACAGTTGCACAGCTTGACAGTGTTTTTTAATTCTGCCTGCTTAACAGCCCATGTCAAAGAAGACCAAGAGAATGCTGAAGGAAGAAAACAGACATTTTAATGAGAATTGAGGATTGCATTATCATCTTGTTTCTGCTAAAGATAAGATGATTTTCTTGCTTGGTGATACTGCAATATCAACATTAAAGAAATTCAGGGCTAGGCACAGTGGCTCATGCCTCTAATCCTAGCACTCTGTGAGGCCAAGGCAGGAGGATCATTCAAGGTCAGGAGTTCAAAACCAGCAAGAGCAAGACGCTGTCTCTACTAAAAATAGAAAGAAATTAATTGGCCAACTAAAAATATATAGAGAAAAAAAAATTAGCTGGGCATAGTGAGTGGCACATGCCTGTAGTCCCAGCTACTCAGGAGGAGGCTGAGACAGAAGGATTGCTTGAGCCCAGGAGTTAGAGGTTGCTGTAAGCTAGGTTGACGCCACAGCACCCTAGCCTGGGCAACAGAGTAAGACTTTGTCTCAAAAAAAAAAAAGAAAGAAAGAAAAGAAAAGAAATTCAATGCTTATCACCATTGTAACACTCATAAGGACCACAAATATTTTAACTTAGAGGGAGAGATGTGAAAGGTTGTATCGCAGAAATTAAAAGATGGAAAGCAAAAGCAAAGACAATTCTTTCAAGCAGTAAGACCTGGAAATAATGCCACTGAAAAAACTTATACAATAGCTTATATACTTTGGGAAAAAAGGGAAGTCTTTCAGTGATATATAAATTGTGAAAGAATGATACATTGTCAAAGTTGTAGGAACACTTAGACCTTGATAACATTTCAAAGTACAAAAAACTGCCTCTTTCAAGAACTATAACTTACTGGCAGCAGAAATTAGCCTTCAATTTAACAGAACTTCCTGCAATACTTCAAAAGGTAAATATATATTATTCAGTCACTCTGGATGAATCAATTGATAATACTGACTCAGCACAGGTTTTATACTTCATTAAGGTCATAACAGATTTTCTTTGCTACAGTTACTCACTTTGGACACTCTTGTGAACAGAACATGGGGAATAGATATCTGCAACAACTTTCAAGATAAATGTGAAGTTGGACTGAGTTTGGTAAATTTAGTGAATGTACAGACATGCACCTTCCACGACAGGAAAACATGAAGGGTTGACTGCATAGATTAAAAGTTATTTAACAAATCCAGATGCTCTCACTTCCTTTCATTGTATCTTTCTTTTTTTTTTTTTTGAGACAGGGTCTCACTTTGTTGCCTAGGCTAGAGTGAGTGCCGTGGCGTCAGCCTAGCTCACAGCAACCTCAAACTCCTGGGCTCAACCAATCCTACTGCCTCAGCTTCCCGAGTAGCTGGGACTACAGGTGTGTGCCACCATATGGGGCTGGCTAATTTTTTCTATATATATTAGTTGGCCAATTAATTTCTTTGTATTTATAGCAGAGACAGGGTCTTGCTCTTGCTCAGGCTGGTTTTGAACTCCTGACCTGAGCAATCCACCTGCCTCGGCCTCCCAGAGTGCTAGGATTATAAGCATGAGCCACTGCACCCAGCCTGTTTCATTGTATCTTGCATCAGCAAAATCTCTGTGTTAAAGCTACTATTTTAAGTGACACTTTGCAACAAGTTATAAGTATTATTAACTATGTTTGTGCAAATGCAACATGGCATTGTCAGTTTCATAACCTGCTGAAGTTGAAAGATGGAGTATTCAGTGGGGATTTGCCATATCATTCTTAAGTGCACTGGCTATCACAGGGACAGGTGTTAGCCACAATTTTATCTCTGAGAGAACAGTTAAATTTTATGAAGAAGAGAATCAGCACTGTGAATTATTAAAAGATTTCTATAAGAATGCAACATTTCTGTGTGGTATCATGTCAAACCAAAATACATGAATATTTCTTTGCAAGATAAAACTAAGTCTATATATGATATGTGGCAAAAAATCCAAGCATTTGGAAAAAAGCTATCTTTTTTCAAAATACTTCTTCAAAAGGAAATTTCGGATGAACATTTTCCCAAGTTAGCAAAGGTCATTGATGAGCAGGATGGTATATGTGAATCATCTGAAGAACACACAGCTGTTAAAGACCTATTAGAAAACACAGTGAAAGATTCACTGACTTTGAGAATCCTGACATCACACGCAAATTAGCATTCAGCCTCACCTAGTTGATATCACCAAGGCACCTAAGGAACTACAGATGGAATTGATTAAAATGTCATCTACTGTGAGCTCAAAGTCATTTGATTTTAACTAAGATCCGATTGAAATATGGGAAAATGCAGAATACCCACACCTTCAGTAACATGCTAGAAAAATGCTTTCTTGCTTTTCAACCACTTATTGCTGCGAATCTACATTCTCCTGCTTAACCCAAATCAAGACACCCTTAAGATCACAAATGATAGAAGACCAACTGAAACTGCAGACCTCCCTGCTACAACCAAATATTCCAATGTTTTCCAACAAAAAGCAGACACAACAGTGTCATTAAAAGGTTAGTTAACTTTAAAATTAATTGTTTTTATTTTTTTGAAATTAAGTACATAGTAGTTAGATTTTTGCAAAATAATGTACATTTTAAGGTATATCTAATTGAACTTTCTTGAATTCGGCTTTGATTACAGCTAAATTAACGTGGCCTTCCAACATGAAAAGGTTCCCCACCCCTGGTCCATGGCTTTATTAGACTGCCAAGGTGGTTTGTGGCAGCAAAAGGTAAGAACTCTGACCTCAAATTTGTCCCAGTCTGCTGTATTCTGTTAATCCATAGCACTAATGTTCCAATATGCTTTTATACTGAAACTTGTTTAAATTAATAGAAATTGGCTTCTCAGAGGCTTTTCTTCACGGGCCTCCCTGGATAATGTGAGTTCCCTTTGAGTAGGCAGGAATGTTTCCCACCATCCTTGTACCATGGCTTCTGAAGGAACAAAACAAATAAAAGAAGTCAGTCCAATAAAATTAGATTCATGTGGCACTTAAAGTAGAACTATAAAACATCCTATTCTCTTGCTTTCTAAATTAAGAGAGAATGTGAAACTCCATTCAATAAATACTCAAGTTAACTGCATGGGTTCAAATTCTACTTCTACCACTTACTAGCTGTGTCGCCTTGGGATAGTAACTTATTCTGTGCTTCAGTTTCTTCATTTGTAAAAGTAATTTAATAAGCACAGTATCTGGTACATGGTAAGTTCCATAAATATTAACTATACTTATTACGTTTGTCTCACGCTACGGCTAGTTAACGTCTGGTTACTTTAATAACTTACATTCATAAAGCACTGTAGAGTCTACAATGTCCTTTCACATACATTATGACATTTGAACCGCACAATAACCCTGTGAGAAAAGACTGTTATCATTACACCCCATTTCATGGTGAAGAAACAGACTCAGAAGTAACCAGACCAGTATGACACAAATAAGAATAAGCAAGAACAGAACCTGGGTTTCACCCTTCAACCCCATGCCTAATTTTGTGCTTCTAATATAATATACTTGGCTAGCTAGAAAAGAGAACAAAGGAAAGATTATTCAGCGAAAAGGAAAGGGGCAAGGTGCTCATTAAGCAATGAGATGAGCACTTCTGTACTTTGCTGCTCACAGAGTGGTTCAGACTAGAAAAATCTGTATCACCTGGGAACTTGTTAGAACTGTAGAATCTCAGGCTCCACCTGGGCCTACCAAATCAAAGCTTCGTTTTGAACAAAACCCCAGGTGGTTCCTTTGGACTAGTTTGGGAGGTGCTGTTTCACTAATTGCTATTGTCATACAACACGGTCACTTGAACAGTATACATTAGGCCATTTATCACTAATTTGTGAAGTTTCAACAGGTCTTTCTTCAACAGTCTTTTTTACTCTTCCATGTAATTCTTGAAGATCTCCATGTCGATAAGTAGAATTATTAAGTATTGTTAGAAAACCCTAAGCTGGTCAGTGCTTACCCGCCTCTACATTCCTTTTAAAAATTAAAGTCTTGGCCTAGGACGGTGGCTCACGCCTGTAATCCTAGCACTCTGGGAGGCCCAGGCGGGCGGATTGCTCGAGGTCAGAGACCCCATCTCTACCATAAACAGAAAGAAATTGGCCAACTAATATATATAGAAAAAATGAGCCGGGCATGGTGGCGCATGCCTGTAGTCCCAGCTACTCGGGAGGCTGAGGCAGGAGGATCGCTTGAGCCCAGGAGTCTGAGGTTGCTGTGAGTGAGGCTAACGCCAGGGCACTCACTCTAGCCTGGGCAACAAAGTCTTACCATCTTTTGCCTGAAGGATACACTAGAGAGCAAAACAGCCCTCTCCGTACTTCACACCCAGCCGATTAAAACAGGCCAATGCTATCCATGTAAATCCTCTCGCTGTCCCCGATATTGCAGAAATTACTGTATTGAGTTTTTCTGACCCTAAACTCTACCTGATTGCTTGAGTTTCGCCACTTTCTGGCTCAAGAACTGAAACGTCGCCAACATGTTTGAAAAAAGATATTAAGATATTAAGCCTGTACCCACACCTAACTCGTGGAAGACGGTGGCGATTCATCATAGAGCCAAGTAAGCAGCCTGCCCCTAACCCTGTCTCCTCTACCCTAATCAACTCACAATTAAGCCCGAGTCAGAGGCCGCTCTAACTTTGGGAACCGGTCCGTGGGCCTGCTCCTCTCAAGCACTCAAGCTCTCGGGTCAGAAACGCGCTCCACTTCGGCACGTGGGAGCGCTTATCGGCCGTCGGCCTGGGACTATTTAAAACTACTGTTCCCACTTAGGCGCCCCTCGCACGGGGACCAGCCCTGGAGGCAGGCGAACACACGCACTTCACCTGCTCCACCGGAAACCTCAACAGCCCGGCCCGGCACTCCACGACGGGCCTCCCACCGCGCGTCCCTGATTGGGCGCGTGCGGGACGGACGCGTCGGCGCGCTCTCACCAGTCCGGGGAATTCCATTTCCTCTCCCGCCCACCAACATAAGCATTCAGGGGCGGCGCTTTCCCGGCGGAGATCCGCCCCAGGTCGAGCCGGTGCCTCACTGCATCTCGCGAGAACCTGCGGATTTGGGGGCGGGCCCCGCCAGGAAGAGCGCACAAAACTGCCCTTAAGTCATTGCAGAGCCGCAGCTCCGGTTAGCCAGCCACGAGGTTCTCGCGAGATTCGCCTCCTCAATACCAAGTGAGGAAACGGGGGGGACGCTGCTGGGAGGGGTATGGGACTCGACCACGCAGCTGCCGCTTCTATTACCTTCCTCCCATGGTCTCCTTCCGGTTCTCGATGCTTCTCTGAGTCTAAGGGTTTCCGCCACTCGTCTGCCCTTCCCCCAGCCCTTGACTCGCCTCCGTCCCCCGCCCTCCCAGTCCAAGCTCCAGTCTGTTTAGTAATAAGGTGCTGTTCCGAAAAGAAGGAAGAGCGGGTGGCACGAATTCACTCGGCCCTAGACGTGGAAAGCAAACCGTCTTCCTTCCTACTTAGCTGCGCTGGGTGCTCGCGACGGCGGCGTTGGCGGACTGATACGCGGCGGTGAAGAGGCAGGAGGAGGGGGAGGGGCGGAGCGTGGCAGCTGGCAGTAGTTCCGTCAGAGCGGACATCTTGTGGCTGTGTCGTGCGCGTGAGCCCCGTAGGGCCGGGGAGGCACCAGCTGCCGCGCGGGGAGGCCGAGGCTGCAGCTTGAGGGAGGCCCCGGCCCCTCTGTACGCGTGGGTGTGGACAACTAGGGGAAGGGAAGGGAGGCCGGCCCAGGGGCCGGCCGGGTAAGAGGGGAAATGCGGGCCCCGGGCGGCCGGAGTGGCCAGCCTGTGGGGCTGGGCCGGGCTGGGTGGGGAGGCTGGAGGAGCCGGGGCCTCGCGGAGGGGGAGGGGGTGGGCGCGTCCCCGCGCCGAAGCCGGAGCCTCGGGCAGCACGGGCGCGTGGTGGAGGTGGCGGGGCGGGAGCGCGCTGGAAGGCGGAGTGTACGGTGGCGTCAGGGGCGACACAGAATAGCTGTAGCTGCGGGGACAGCGACACACTTAAAGCCTGTCTTCCTTTATTTCGTTTCCTTCCCTGGCCGCACCTTTGAGCAGAAATCGAAAGAAGCCCGGCGACAGTCCGGAGTCTCCTGCTTCCCCTCCCCCTGCCTTTCTCTGCCCTAGTGACGCCGGCGTAGCGCCGACTAGGCCCCGGCTCCTCCTGCCGGCCTCCGGACCCTGCCCCCACCCGCCCTTTCTCCTGCGCCTTCCTCTCCCACCCGGGTCTCTTCCTTCGAGAGGCCGGGAAGTTAAACTTGTGCCCAGCCCTCCGCTCTTCCTGTCACCCTCGCCCCCACTTTGGGCCGAAGCACGGCATAGAGGCTGTTGGTGGCTTTGCCTTGCCACGCCACCCCACCCACCCCGGATCGCGACAGTTTTAAGGGACGCGGATTCGTCGGGGTCTCTCCGAGGCCCGTGCGAGTGCTGATCTGCTCCGTTTTTGCAAAAGGCGCCTGTGTCTGGTAGAGCCGGTGTGAGACGAGACAATCCTTCCCCGTCGCCCGGATAATCAAGAGTTTTGGCCGGACCTTCGAGCACACACCGAGACAGTGAGGAGCCAGACGAAAAGCACAGACTATGGCGCTGAAACGGATTAATAAGGTAACTCGTTGGGGACTGAAAGGAAGGCTCAGGCCCGACGGAAAGCGTGGGGGCGGGAGGGAAGTATAATTCTGAAAACACCTCTTTGGGTCAGTTCTTCCATTGGGGGGTGGAGAACGCGGATGTGCTTTATCAAGAAGTGAAGTTTAAAGTTAGGGAACCAGAGCACTTGTGGCAAATTGAGTGTGTTACAGTGTAATCGGTGCATATTAGAGATGGGGGAGAGTACCTTTAGGCGCTTCGTTTTTCTGCTTTTAGATGTTAGCCCCGTTTGGGGGGGTCAGAATTGCGGAGAGACGCTCCAGCAGATGTCATGCCACTTTCTGTTCTCAGTGCTTGAAAACTTACTTTAATTACAAGGTTAAGGCTCTAGGCCTTGTAGGGGGGAGAAAGGAAACTCGCAGGAGAGAAGGTCAAAGAAACCTGGCAGGTTCTGAACTTTACTGGGGGTCGGGGTGGAAAGACCTCGGCTGCTGGAGGAGTGTGAGTCTAGTGAGAAACTTCATAGACACTGAGCAGGTTACACAAGAATTAGGGGTTGGGAGGAGGTGGAATGACACAATGTTGCCACTTCCTCTGTTTTGTAGTCGCAGCTTTTCACCCGAAGCTATTTATCAGAGGCACACCGGGAACTGATGTAAAAGCCTTCTGGAAGCTCCATTTTTTTTCTTAACTGGGGGAGGCGGGAGAAGGGGTGGTATGGCAGTAAGGGAAAGCTAGGTGTACCTATTTTTGCCTCATCCTATTTAATAACACCCTCGAGGAAGATTGTTTCTCTGCTTAAACGTGGTTTGATAGTAAAATGATCGATTTAAGTTGAAAACAAGGATTTTTTTGGAGCTCTGGGAGTGAGTGGATCCTCCACCTCCGGTAGTTTAGTCTCATTTTCTTGCTCTAACTTCTGTCCCGCATTTTAAGATGGCGGCTGCTTTAACTGGTTCAGGCTCTTTCCGGCATCTCCTTTCGTAATAATGTGAAATAATATTGTTTGTTAAATGTTAATTTCTTACATCAGGTTGTGCACTGCTCTAAGACCCTCTGCTCAAGCTTTACCTAAATGGGAACTCAGACTGTATTTTCCTTTTTTTTTTTTTTTGTTCTGTTCTGTATGTGTGGTGTGTTTGGTTCTTGCACAATCCAGAAGGGTGGAGTATTTACAGCTAACTTGAAAAAAATGTCATGGAATAAATTTAGCCTTACTAGAAAAATGGAGGGGGTGTTGTAGGTTAGAAACTTTGGTTTTGATAGGTTACTTTTTAAAGAGTTCTATGGAGGGAATAGCAAGAACTTGCCTCTACTAAAATAGTGCTGAATGCTGCCTAATTTGCACTTACTGACACGAGTTTATTTGGCAAAACTGGGTGTTTTATAAAAGATGAAGGTTTAAATCTTCACTGTTATATATTGATGGTGAAATCTCAAATTTTGTTCTAGGCCATAATCCTATTGTCATTATAGGTTATTTGAAATACAAATTTAAATCTTTGTACTTGTGAGATGAAGAAAAAGAAGAAAAACTTTTTAGAAGAGTTAAAGTAAAGGTATTATTTTTAAATAACACTTTTCTGTGACCACTTTAAAGGCCAACAACACATTAGAGAAGCAGAGCTGTATTTTGCAACACACTTAATACAAAAAGCATGACATTCAGTACAAATTAAAACCTTTTATCTGTGGCAATTAGTTCAGGCCACGAAGATATAGAATAATTCTGAATCCTTAGCTTTTTGTGCATGTGGAACAGAACACTTTAAAGGAAGGTCTCATTGATTTTTTTTCTTTTACAGGTGATACCCAGCTGCTGTGGCACCACTTTAATGATTTAAAAGCTTTAGAGAGGCAATATAACATAATAGTTAAGAGTGTGAACATTGGAGCAAAAATACTCCAGTTAGAATTCTAGCTCTGGGCAAGTTTATATGCCTCTTTAAGATGGGTATTTATTACAGACGAACAACAAATGGTTGTGTGCTTAATATGTACCAGGCACTGTTATAGACATTGAGATGGTAACAGCGAACAAAATAAATTTTAAGTTCCTAGGTGTTTTTTTTTTTTTTTTTTTTAATGATGGTTAAATGGGTCAATTTGTGGCCTTGAAAAAGCCCTGGGTACATGACACTTGTTACTAATATAACGATTTACAATCCTCAACCTTTTTTACTGAAGAACTTTGTTTTCTAGTCTAATATTCCTGGTTGATACCAGGTTTTCTCCTGTTGTAAATATTTTGAAGATTTACATAATACAGAGACTTGGTGTGGTGTGTCACCCTGTAATCCTAGCACTCTGGGAGGCCGAGATTGGAGGATTGCTTGAGTTTAGGAGTTCAGGACTATCCTGAGCAAGAGTGAGACCCCATTTCTACCAAAAAAAAAAAAAAAATGAGCTGGGTGTTGTGGCTTGTGCCTGTAGTCCCAGTTACTCTGGAGGCTAAGGCAGAAGGTTGGCTTAGAGCTCAGGAGTTGGAGGTTGCAAGTGATCTTTAATGACGCCACTGCCCTTTACCCAGGCGACAGTGAGACTGTCTCATCAACAACCAAAAGGCAACTGTAATACAGAGACTTGACATAAAAACAATTTCCAAATTGGAGAAACCAGTGGTTCTGTGAGACGTTATTGATTCATCTTATAGAAAATCTTGACATGTGCATGAGGTTTGGTTTTCAGCTGTTAATGCTGGAATCACATGAGAAAGCTTTTAAAAAATAACATCCCTGATCCAAGCAGAATTTTAGTGATGGGACAGCTCTGAGGGGGAATACTCTTTGTTTTAGGGACCTCGGTTCTAGAAGTACAGGTGAAATAGTCATTGATGTCAATATTACATTGTCATGTATCTGGCTATTTTGAATTTATTGTCTGAAGCTCCCAAATTTCAAATATTTAGGTATATCCGTATTCCTCACTAATGTTATTGAAATGTTTTTTGGAATACATTTAACCTCTAGTAGTTATTTGATCAGGATTTTGAATTTAAACTTTTTTTCCTTCAGCTTATTTTCTTACAGTAAGTTTGACTGTTAGGCCTATCAACCTTACGGGTGGTAGTGGTTGTGTTCTCCCCCCCCCCATGCTTTATTTGGACAAGCTGTAGTACGGTCTTAAATAAGGCTGTTAAACAAGAGTCAAAGTGGTACTTGAGTGGTGGTATTCAGGAAGACAAATCTGAGCACTCCCATTAAAGCGACTACAGTACATGTTTTGGGGATGTTTGAGGAGAACTTTATATAAAATCTAATGTGAACTAGGCCTAAAAGAATAACTCATGTTGTCATTGTAATGTGCTGAATTGTTTGAAATACTTGTGTTAATTCATT